GTTGTTATTATCTTTCAGCAAATTAATTTTATAGTGCAAATGAAATGCTTATAGTATACTACGAATATATTCATAATTAATTATCGCTTTACTGACAGTTCTTGTGAAACAGTTAAAAGACAGAAAGCAGTCTTCTGGGATTTGGCACCGTGTATATGTGCTTTTACCGGTTCTCACGGTCTCTTCGCTTGCATATTTCTTATATTTTTTCTTCTACCCTGAAGATGGAGGCGATACGTTCCTCCGAAACGTCGGTTAACACCACATATACACGGTGCCAAATCCCAGAAGACTGCTTTCTTCATAGTCACCGCCGTGAAAGCCTCAAATCTTACATAGTTAAAAGACAATTCACAACGTGTCCAGATAAAGCAAAGTTCATACAACAAACATAATCAGTACAGAAACAACACAAGTAAAGATTCAGGGGAAAGAAAGGGTCTACATGTAACACACAAATGAAATCGTTGGAACTGAATGCTAATAACAAAAACACCGAGATATTATGGTCTACTTAAGATGTTAGAAATACGGGAGTACTTTAAATGAATTTTAAAATCAAATTTATATATTGTAAATACGTTGTTAAAGTATAATTTCGAACAATATTATGTTTCAGACATGTATGAATATATTCATGATAACACAATACACTGAGGATGTTACATTAAAGGCCTATTTGAATACAGATTTCAAAGAGATGAATTTGATAACATAATATTTTGTAACGCGGAACACAAATTACGTTTTTGACATTTTATCTTATAAGCTATTTTAAAAGAAATAAAATTATCTATTGTCATTTGTACATTTGGTATATTTTGATAAAATTATTATGAAGTTAATAACGATTACCATAACAGTCAATCACTTGTATGACGTTAAGAAGACATTTCTATGACAAGGAACACAATTATAAATCCAATTTTAAAATTCATCTCGTTTCTCTGTAGTTTCTGTTCTACTGACCACATTTTAAGCACCATGTAGCATGCTCGAATTACTAGAGCTAGCGCGAGAGTAGCCTACTACGCAAGCTCGGAAGGAATCCTATTCTATCTCACGTGTCGTGATTTGTTGTGAATCAGCATCATACCATAGAACACTGCCTGCCATATTCGACACATCAACCGTTACCGAGCGATTGCTTTATCAAAATAGTAACATGCAGTTCATCTGAAGTTAATCTTGAGATTTCGAGTTCGCTGAGGCCGTGAAGATTTGGTTTGCTCGTCTTATGGTTCATGTAAGAGGTTAACTACACTTCGGAGGAACGGTTTGTCCCCACCTTCAATTCCACCCTGAAGATCGAGGCATCAGTTTCCTCCGAAAGGTTGGTAACCACCTATAATACTACAAAATATCGTAATCCAGAAGTCTATAATCTAAAAGTGATTTTAGTTGCACATCATTTCACGACGTAATATTTGGATATACCTATTGTCACATATTAGTGATTTGCGTGACTTATAAAACGGGTTTTGGATTTGATGATCGAATTTATTGAACCTTTATATAACTTGTTACAACATTTCACAAATCACTATCTTCTACTGGACACTCTCGACTTCTGACCACACTACTGCTCCAACTGAACTGTCAGTTATTGTTGGCTTCTCGTTATAGAGCCTCGGGTCCTATCACACAGAAAACTTATTCAATGCCTAGCAATGGATATCGTCTATGGTTTCATATTCATTGCAGCGGGATGTGTTTACCAAGCCGTTGTCTAGCAATGGGTCTATGGGACACAGTATTTTAAAAATACTTTAAGATATTTGTGGGGTTCAATTTCAAAATGGCCATACGTTTTGGGGTACCAAAACATTCAGTTACAATTAAAAGCTGACGATATGAGTTCCAGCATAAACAACAGAGTTCTTTGGTGTGGGCCTATAAACTAAAAATTTCGATGTTAGAATATGACGTACATACAATATGTAGGCCTTTTGTGGCTGCGTGACTTATCTTCTTCCCGCATCTTGTTTAGCAGGCCGTGATTTGTGTCAGGTGGGCTGACATGTTACTTCAAATATTGATCTGTTCCCCTACATACTTATACACGTGTATGAATCTTACTGGTTTTTGCTGGAGCGTTGAAACACACACGAGAGTACTGTTAAAAATGGACTAAATTTGTCTTATATGCTACAGTCTCCTTTGATAAGTTTATCATAACGAGACAAATTGGGAACTGAAAGTGGTGGCGGTAGAATTTTCATATTCGTGTTTTCACAGCGCCGACGCAGCTAAAATGAAATTTCATTCTACGAGTTTTAGTGTAGATCATTACTTTCTTACTTATTTACTTACTTACTTACTTACTTACGCATGGAGCTGAGCCCTTCTCGAGGAGCCGCCAATTCTGCAGCAACTCAAGAATTTCCCAGTATTTTATGGAACCCGAAGGTTCATTATCGTGTTGACAAGAGCCCTTCACTGGTCCCTGGGTTCCATCCCATCCCATTCTATCTCTCTAAGACCCATTCTAATATGGGGAGCCGCCAATTCTGCAGCAACTCAAGAATTTCCCAGTATTTTATGGAACCCGAAGGTTCATTACCGTATTCACAAGAGCCCTCCACTGGTCCTTATCCTTAGCCAGATCTATCCAATCCATCCCATCGCATCCTATCTCTCTAAGATCCATTCTAATATTATCCACACACCTACGCCTTGGTCTTCCCTGTGGTCTCTTTCCTTCAGGCATTCCCACCAATATCCTATGCGCATTCCTCGTGTAGATCATATGAACCAAATTTCGTCTGAAATTGTTCAGTGGGAGTCGAGTTATTGTTCTGCATAAACAGATATGCCGAAAATGATACCCGAATGTTAGTTACGGAGTCACCAACTAATAAGCCTATGTAGATTTACGCGGCTTGTGAAAATGGCTCTGAACCTTGTGCTACTCGTGTTTATGTTCCATGCTACATAATTAATGCTGCATTACGATGTTGGAGTTCAAAATGGAGTTCCTGCTGAATCCAGTCACATTGCTGGATGGTGTTCTATATGCCATTACATACATAACTGAAAATGTTCTATTACGCGGGGGTAATATGTTGCCGTTCGCTTTAAATTTTGAGAAATAACATGAGGAAGGTTGAATGCGATCGTTTACGATTTCTTCAGCGCCGAGAGAAAACAGGATTACAAACGATGCCTTAAGGTCATCATTTGGACAAGCCAGAAGGTCGCAGGTTCAATTCCCGATGCGATCATTGGATTTTTCAATTTACTTAATCCTTCCAGCCGCACTATGGCCCTGGGGTCGACACAGCCTCTAACAGAAATGCAAAGGAATAAAATCATGACGACGAAGTAGCGTCGCGTTCCTTCTTTCTTGGCCCTCCATAGCACGGCTGCACGCCGTTTCCTCTCTGGTATTTAATTTTTGTTCATTATTTACACGGTGTACATAAAATAAATGCATAGGCCTCTAGGGCTAGTGTTGTCTGTATGTCCGCATGTTTCACAATTCTTGACCAGTTGATTAACTAGAAGATCTTCAAGACAGCGTATACAGTGACGTCTGTTACGCTAAAAGAAATAGCGATTTAGACGTTTAGATGACTCTCAGATGATCAATAAATTAAATCTTCGGATGTGCAAGTTCTAATGTCGCCTTGATCAAGTTATCTATTGCCACGTATAAGGGGTTTGCGTGACTAATAAGAAGGGGTTTTGAATTTGATGATTGAATTTATTGGACCCTTATACAACTGGTTACAGCAGTTCACAAATCTGACACTGTCATCTTCTTCCGACTGGAGACTCCACTGGAACTATTCTCACTTCCAGATAAACTGAACTGTACTACTGCGTTGTACTCCCTCGTACTCCTTTAATTCTCCTGTGCCTTCTTATAATTCCTGGGCACGGACCCCATGGAAAACACCGTCTTCTGTTGTCAAGAATGCATGTTTAATGGTCCGTTACCTAACAAGGGATGTCATTCTATTGCTGAGAGCGTAACTTCGGGAATGTTTTTGCCGAGCCGTTGCATAGCAATGGGCATATGAGTCATACTATTATAGCTATTTCAATGAGGTAGAGTGGGAAAAGTCTGAATTCGGAGTTTATAGAGGCCGGAGGACACCAGTTTTTATTATGTGACTTAGATTTATGATTCCAGGAATATGACGTCAGACAGCCTCTCCTTCCCCCTACAACGAGCATAACAGATTTCTACATAATACTCTCACACTGTAGGTTCGATATGTTTATACATTAAATCAATCATAATAAGTTTCTAAGAGCGCTCTTTTGGGGCGTGTTCGGTAGGACTACAAATGCCATGCTAATACCCATGTTCCTCAAGTGACCTACAAGAAAATGGCGTAAATAAACGGAGAAAGTAAAAGCAAATTTACTGATACAGCAGCACGGGATGATGCATTTCAAGAGGAGGAGCAGGAATGGATGCTTATCCACAGACGAGTGTTGCAGAACTAAATATGTATAATTTGTTAATATACGCTTCAAAGTCGTATTTTAATGGAGCATTATACAAAAAAAAAAGTTGAGTGCAATATAATTCGGTCAACGGTTTTTTCCCTTCTCTTCATAGGCACAATGACGACTTTCTACTGAAATAATGAACTCTTTGAAGAGTCTATTTATCTGTCTCTGTTGGAGCATACGGCATCCGAGAAATATTTGGTTCACTTTAGCTCCTTTGTCTTAGATATTCGGCAGAACTCCTTGGACGGGGATCAGCGCGTCGCAAAGCCGCGACCTACACACAAACACAGAATGAATGCAAACATCCGTGCCTTGAGTGGGTTTTGAACCCACGATGTCAGTGTTCGAGCGAGCGAAGACAATTCATGCCTTAGACCGCGCGGCCACTGTGATCGGCTGCTGGAGGCAATACGGTAACCACACTCGGAGAATTCCTTCTCGAATCGTATCATCCACGGGAATGCGAACGCAACTAGAAGACAAAGTGAGGGAGCTGCTATGGTAAACTGGGGACGAAGGTGAAGTTTCCTTACCTCTGACTGTTGCGGCCGCTTCCTTTATCCTGGTTTCGCGGGGTGACACAAGGGAGAAGGCACTGCTATGCCTGTCGACGCAGCACCGGGGCGGCGATGCGGAAGTACTGCGTGGTGACCGGGGCGGCTGGGAAGGCGGGGGACTGTAGTTTGGAGGCGGCGCAGCGGGCGGTGATGACTCTACTGTACGTAGCGTCTTGATGAGGAATGACCGAGGCATCGCTTCTGTAAGAAAAGCCACAGGCTATAGGTATTTCTCTTAGCGGGCCACGCGGTAACGTAGTTGGTTGAGGCACTATGCTACAAGCCGGAAGGTCGTGGGTTCAAGTCCCGATGAGGTCATTGGATTTTTTTTCAATTGACCTAATCCTTTCAGCCGCACTATGGTCCTGGGATCGACTCAGCCTCTAACAGAAATGAGTACCAGGAATTAATTAAATAATTTTCCTGGGGAATAAAGCACGGCCGGCGCGTAAGGCTGACAACCTTACCACCATCTATAAACCGATTGTCTAGAAAATGTGGGAACCTCAGCATCTCACAACCCTATGGACCTCCACGGCCTGTACAGGGATAGCTTTACTTTTATGGGCATTTCTCTTAGTGGGGTGATGTTAAGGAAACTTGGAAAGGGCAGAAGTGGAAGAAACGCAATGTTATTGCAAAAGTTTGGTCAAATCCTGTTCATGAATCGTGTGGTAATTCCAGTGAATACCCTGGCTCCATAATAACAAGAAATTTCCGGAGCTGGTGAGCAACTATCACGTACGTCCTTCACACAAGTAGACTGAACCTATGCTTTGTTCGTTAATTAATAATTTACGAACTATTGACTCTGAGTGTTGCGAATAAATAAACCCATTATGGAGACAGGCTCCATGGCGCATAATTAAAAAAAACCATTATTAAAAACTGCAATAAATTATATTAAATATATGCGTACATGAACACGGTGTTAAATCTGAGGTTCTCACAGGTGTGAACAGAATTAGCTTCTTATTCATGCGTTTCTTAGCATATCTTTGACTTTTGTGGCAGTACATCGTACCGAAACGTCGGTGAATTTCTACAGAGCTACACATTTCACAATACAGTACTCTTCAAATATATAGCTTATTTTAAGTGTAACTATAAAATTATGTTGTACATTGTCCATTTTATTTGTAGTTTTTAAAATTATACGGCGTTTCGGAAGCCTTTCGTTATCACACGTAAAAAAGTGGGAAATAATTCTTCTCAGTTGGGTTCGTACATACTCTTATAACCAACAACCGCTGTCACAGACCTTCAAAGGCTTATTATTTTAACCTAAACTGTATTTTCTCTAGTTCGAAACTGAATTGTATTAGATCTTCTTTCTTAACACATCAATCGACAGACCAACCATTAAATAATTAATCGTGCCTTCAAATAGATTGCCTGACAGTCTTACAGCAACTTTCCGCAGGCGTCTACTCAAGTCAGAGCTCCTTATTCTGATCGTAATTATTCCTCGAAGTTAGTTACGGCTGTTTCCTTGCCAGTCAGTTCAGCGCACCTTATCACTTCACCTTCTCACTCGGCGAAGAAGCATCTACATTTAGCACAACGTCACTAAATATTCTACGAACCAATAAACCAGGAATCCTATTGGATAATCGATAGTTCTGTGGAGCAGACGCTTTCAGGATGTCGTACTGGGCCCTGCTGTCTGAGATTTACTGCTGAGCTAGCCGAGACATAGCTGTGAGGTCTAACCTGCAGAGATTGTCTGCTATCGCGAACTGCTTCAGAGAATTGTTCGAGATATCGATAGTTGCATGTAAACACATTCCTTTATGAAGCCAAGACGAACCAGTGTGCTAGTAAGAGGAATTATTGACTATCTGAGCAACTATTAGCTTCTCAAGAGGATGGCAACATGATCCGATCACGGTGGTCGCGTATTGTAAGGTTTGTACTGTCTTCTGCCCAAATAATGGTATCGTAGATTCGAATCCCAACTGGGGCACTCCTGTATGTCTGTCCGTAGTTTGTGTGTAGATGTCGTGTGCCGGTAGAAAGGAGTATGCTGGGCCGATCCCCCGTCCAGGAAGTCCTACCAGATGTCTGTAAATAAGATGTAGAAACACGATAAAAGAAACAGGAGGCTTTGGACGCAGTGGTTAGTCGTGTCTCTTAAGAATGGGTTGGCAACAAGAAGCTAATGCGTGTAAAGAAGGTAATGAAGCCTAGTGGAACAGATGACAAGCGTTCATACGCTCGAAAAAATTGGCAGCATTTAATTAATTCATTTATTTATGGTTTGAGCGATTCGTTATATAAATTCTCATAGTAGGCTGGACACTGTCAGTTGCCTGGGTGTACGTGTATCATGTCTGTTCTGCGAATAAAGACGAGATTTGGATGCGAACATGTGAGACGTAGTTACTACACGTATTTATCCTGAAGATTTACGAGGTTTCTTTTCTTTAAAAACACGCATATAGAAGATGTCCATATACTTAGCTCAGTCATATAAAACTGGGTCGAGAACTCTAATCAACAAAGTAACCCGCGTGGGCATTTGATAGATCTATGTAGGTAACACGATGGAATTATACTGTGGCATGTAGACTCGTTGCTAGGTAACGACCGCGAGATAATCAGCTGGCTGTACAAGAAACCGCTGCTAGGTAATGGCCGCAACAGACTCGTAACACTGAACAATGTAATAACTGCGATAGCTACGTGACGCAACAATAGAACTGTTGGGAGAAGTGTTTTCTATGCGATCCGTGCTGCACGAGAGTGTCTTGAGACGGCAGTTAGAAGAGCAGGAATTGTGAGGCAGTCGTCGGCCAGTAAGGACCTGAACACGGAAGCTGAGAAAGCTACGGCATTACAAGCGGTTGCCGAGCGACAACCGGTGAAGATACTGCAGACTAGGAAACTGTTAACCACAACGAAACTGCAATTTGCGAGAATTAGCAGTCTGAATTGAACACGTGTTACTGAATAGAGAAGCGCAAATTGAGGAAACGGCAACGCAACTCGTGAAAGGAATGGGAGACTCAACTTCCAGATAATGGAGCATATCAGTCTTCTCATAATTGCGTTGCCGCGTGGTTTCCTCGTGTCCCCTGTTCTGTAACGCGCTTCAGTGATTCATCTGTTTCTTAAGATGTCACGAAAGGTTGACGAAGCTGGTAATTTTGTTTTTGTACAGTGAACTGAGTAAGACCTGGTATATGTGACAAATGCCACCCATACTATGCTAGGCAGGACAAAATAAATTTGGCTTGGGAAAGAATTTCTCATGAAATGAAGGAGTCTGGAATCAGGTTAACTCTTTTCGAAACAATATAAGCGCCTATGTTTAAATTGCCATAGAAGAAAGGATGCATCAACGTTTCCTTTTCCTAATATTGTATTTCAACATCCTGTTGCATTAATATATTATTTATTTCACATATATTTCCGTCTTAAATGCAACTCATTATAGTCACCCGTCTTCCGCACTATATGGTTAGGCTATATATAAGTACGTCTTGCATCTTGCTAAAATTGTTGCACTGTATGTCAAAATTTCGTATTGCATGTGGACCTGTTATTTTCTGATTAAAATAAATTTCCCTTATGGTCGTCCTCTCTTCTCACACCGTCTCAACCGGTCCAACTTCCGCCACATTATGACAGGATCAGAATTATTATCTTCCATTGCAGAAGGTAGGTGTACGAAATTAAAAAGAAAATACAGTCATGCATTACGTGGGACGAACCTACCCACTTAAGCCGATGCGAGCAACTAATCAAACGGAAGTTTCCTCAGTGTGTGCCTGCTAATTTTGAAACCAGTTGCCTGCTTGAAATCGGCGATTTATCTCGGAAATTGTGGTTGCGTTGTGGTTGTCAGTTTCCTTGGTTTGCCCTAACCCTAAGCTCATGCACTCATACGTGCTGTAGTGAATTGTAGAATGTGCAAATTGTCAATAGAGCTATAGTTACTTGTAGTTACGAGTAGCAAAAGTGTAAGTGTGTAATAAATAAATAAATCCCGTCTATAGTCACACTCAATCACATGACAATGCTTATACGACTGTTTGAATTCGCATTTCCATGAATCAATAAGATGTACAGATCTGTATAAGCACACTACTCACTATTCACCTGTTAATATCAATTGTATTCAGAAACAAAACAATTTTATCATTTCTTGATTTATATGTATGCCTAATGACATTATTAACCTCTATAGTAGACCCTACTAGGAAGTAAACAGGATTGTTGATATGACTGGAAACTCCACTAGGAAGTGTATCTTCGCAGAAGGCCTCTGCAGGATGGAGTCAACACTTATTTTAGTTTGCCCATAAAGATTGTAGGGGCACGCGGTAGCGTAGTTGGTTGAGGCACTATGCTACAAGCCATAAGGTCGCGGTATCGATTCCCGATGAGGAAATTTGATTTTTCGATTGCTCTAATCCTTCCAGTCGCACTATGGCCCTGTGGTCGGCTCAGCCTCTAACAGAAATGAGTACCAGGAATATTCCTTGGGGGTAACGGGCGGTCGCGGCGTAAGGCTGACAACCTCGCCGCCATCTGTGAGCCGATTGTCTAGAAAATGTGAGAGCCACGACATGGTGGTGGTAAAATGCTGTATAGTCCGTTGAATGTCAACGGACGTTTCGGAAGAATATGTCACCTCCATCGAAAAATAAGCCAAACAAGAATCCAACATATGAACCAAGATGGAGGTGACTTCCTCCGAAACGTCTGTTGACTTTCAAGGACTACATGACGTTATATCCTAAAATACATAAAACTTTATTGGGCGTATGGGTGTGGAGTTGCTATGAGCATAAAATCATATAATTCACCGAAATTCCTGCTTTACAGCCCGGAGATCACAGGTTCATCTCCGAGTCCGCAGACTGGTGGTCTTGGCTTCGATTTTACTGCGTTATTCTCCCCCCGTCGAGGAAAATGTTGCGATGGTAACTGCCTTGAAATAGATCACAATTGGTTCTTTCTGCATCATTCATTTTAGGTTGCAGCAGTTAGGTAAGTCTGGACCTCAACAAACTAACAAAATATCGTCGTTAAATAAACATGCAGGCTAGCTTATCAGCAATGCTCTAGACTTGTAGTCGGGAGGTACACATTCGTATCTGGGCCAGAATACCGGATATCCTGACAGGTTCTCGTGTTTTCTTCACTCCTGCCGGGTAAATGTCATGATACAACGCCCATCTGGACACGATCAC